GTACCTGCTCAAGAAGCCAACATCAAGTCCTTTCTGTGAGTAACTCCCTCTCTCTATCTCTACTGAATGTACAGATTGCATCTTTCATTTTCTTTGTCCCAAATTTCAATTCTTGATTAGGTTTTTCATTGGGGTTCTGAGAGAATGGATGGAATTGCAAAGAAAGTTGCTTTTCAAGAAAGAAAAGAAATTTTGGATTTTTCTTTGGCACTTAAACAAAATTTAGGTCGTTCACTACCAGCTGGGAATATCTATAATTTGGGTTTCTGGATTTATATGGAAATTTCATACTTTGGGATTTATGATTGATATAATTAGTGTCCTTAACAAGTCCTCCTTTGAAGGAAAATCCCCCTTTGTATTTAGGTTTCTTATGAAAATTTCCAGCTTTGTCATGCTTTCTTTTCTTGAATTTCAGGACTGCCAGTGGCACATTTCATGACGGCAATCTGCGTCTGAACCAGAAAGGATTGCGGCTTATCTCTGAAGAAAAGGAGACCCCAGTAAGTTTAATTTAAGGTTTCCATCTTTTTATTATTTATTTCTGATCTTACATTGATCTTGAAGTGTTCAGTTGTAAGTTGCAAATGATAATTTAATATGTTTCTCATCCCAAATGAGGTAGTTAGGAGTGATGGAATTTGTAGACCGTAATGGTTTCCACCCTGAAATTTAGGCTCAATTTGGTTAAGCTTCCCACCGCAGAAGCATGACCAGTAAACTTCTACAGACCATGAAAAGAGTTGCTTTTGAATTCCAAGTTATTTCAACATCATCATTTGACCTTTAGTATTCTTGGATGAAGATTTTGATTTCATTTAAAACGTGTCTCGAATGTGTATCAAACTCCATTGAAGTGCTTAAATCCTATGCTTATGATTTAAACCTCTGGGGATTGACTTCTGATCTTAAGTTAGAAGGGTTTACTGCTTGTGTTTGTGTCTGTTTTTGCATCCTTCCATGAACACATGCTCGGCTGTTCTTGTCTTTTGATGTGCATATTTTCTATTTTCTGCACAGAAATGTCCTTGTGAATGCTTTTTTAATAGATATATTTTCCTGTTTACTATATGGTCTATAGACTCAATATTACAATTGCCTATTTGGTATGTAGGATCAAACTTCTGACAGTAAGGAGCTCAACTTTGAAATTACATTGGAAGATCTTGAGACTATTAAAGTTATCGGGAAGGGAAGTGGTGGTGTAGTACAACTTGTTCGTCATAAATGGGTCGGAAAACTATTTGCCTTGAAGGTCAGTGCGCTAGCAATGACAACTGTTCTCTTATTTTTTGTGTACTTGCCTTTATCGTGTTATGTCGTATTTTCTCTGTTTCTTATGTGATGATAATTGATTTAGTGTCGTCTTAAGCGAGGTATGAGATGAAGTTTTCTTCTTGAACCATAGGGCCTATGTGCAAATTACAATTGTAATAGGATTTTTTAACATTGCTTTGTAACCTAAGGTTTGATTTAGTTAAGGATTCAAGCGGAATGGATATTAAGAGAGTTGACGTGTTATGCATACCAGAACAAGGTAGTGATGAAAGGAGGGAAAAGAAGCACTTTATAGTTCATATACTTATTTTGGTAATTCTTTTAAATAAACAAAAAAAATCTGATGGAGGTTATGAAATCGTTTAGCAAAGACATGGGGGGATTGCAACCAATATGATTTTCCTAATCCTCCCTTCCCAGAAAGAAGAGCATGAGATTCTTCAGTAGCATACCGTCCAGTTATATCCACCTCTTAGTTATTGCTTGTTAGAACTGTGTCTTTCTGAGTAAAAAGTCTCTGTGATGAGTATCTGATGCAATTAGGACATTGCGGCTCTTAGTTCGTTCTGTTTGACTAGGATTTCTTTTTTGTTCTGTTCTCCAGGTGATTCAGATGAACATACAAGAGGAAATTCGTAAACAGATTGTGCAGGAGCTAAAAATAAATCAAGCAGCACAATGTCCACATGTGGTGGTTTGTCACCACTCATTCTATCACAACGGGGCCATTTCTCTTGTGTTAGAATATATGGACCGGGGGTCCCTTGCAGATGTGATCAGACAAGTTAATACAATTCTTGAACCATATCTTGCAGTCGTTTGTAAACAGGTATACGAGCTTATGTTATTAATGAAATTCAAGTCTGTTTTACCCTTAGCTAAAGATCTTTACTTGTGCATCAGGTTTTACAAGGCCTTGTGTACTTGCATAATGAAAGACATGTGATACATAGAGACATAAAACCATCCAATCTGCTAGTAAACCATGAAGGGCAAGTGAAGATCACCGATTTTGGCGTGAGTGCTTCGCTAGCTAGCTCTATGGGTCAAAGAGACACATTCGTTGGTACTTACAATTACATGTCGGTAAGTAATGATCTTTTTTCACATGTAATTACCCGAAAACATCAAACAAGACTCATGAAACTATGATGCATTTGTCTTTCAGCCGGAGAGGATTAGCGGGAGTACTTATGACTATAGCAGTGATATTTGGAGTTTAGGCTTGGTGGTACTCGAGTGTGCTATCGGTAGGTTTCCTTACATGCAATCTGAAGATCAACAAAGCTGGCCAAGCTTTTATGAGCTTTTGGAGGCAATTGTGGAAAGTCCACCACCTTCAGCTCCTCCAGATCAGTTCTCCCCCGAGTTCTGTTCTTTCGTGTCTTCCTGGTAATCGCATATTTACATGCATTGTTCACCTTTTCATATCAATGCACTGCAATGCTGACTGTCTATATTTTCTTATTCGATCTGCAGCATACAGAAGGACCCTCAACGCAGATCATCATCTTTGGACCTTTTGGTTAGTAATCCGGTGATTTTCTTTTTCGGTTTTGAACGCTCTGGATTTTGTTTCAGTCATCAACTTGATAACGAATTCATGTTATCCCTTTCAGAGTCACCCCTTCATCAAGAAATTCGAAAACAAAGACATCGATCTCGGGATTCTGGTTGGCAGCTTAGAACCTCCTGTAAATTTTCCAAGATAGTTTGTCGCATGCAATGTAACAATGTTTTTCCCCATATGTATTCTCTTGTAGTAACTGCAGCTTTTCATTCGAAGTATTTGTTCTTAAAAATTGAGGGGCGTAATGTTCGGTTGGCAGATACTTTGCTCGCCGTTTTAAAATTCACATTCTTGTGAGGCCTATCAAAAGAATCTTCAACATGAAAAGCTGACAACGTTATTCGTAAGACAACTTTTTCAAAAAACTTAGGAATCCTTGCAATTGGGTTTCATGGCCTCACCTATTGAACGCTTGTGAGAGTGATTTCAAGAATGACGTATTCAGACAAACTGTTCTATTAAAAATCTTCTCCTATATCCAATACGATCTTGCCAAATAATTTAAAAACCCTAAGCATGAGTAGGTGGACTGATGAACAAAAGGAGACAATGCTCCATATTTCACAGCAATCCTATTGCCTATTGGTATTTATTTTCCATATTTAAATAATAAATATCTTTTCTATAAATAGAAAAAAAAAATCAGAAGAATGGGGTGTGGATGAGGTTACACAAGAAAAGGTGAATAAGTGAGACAACAGGAGGTGGTGGGGATAGGGATAGGGATAGGTCAGTGAAGGGCATCAAGCTAGGGTTTTCTGTGGGATTTTGTATTAAAAAAAAAAAACCATCAAATTATATTATATAGGGGTTTTTTTTTAAGTCCAGCAGATTTGGCAATCCTGACCCAAAATAAATAAATAAAAGATTTTTTTTTCAAGTTTTTCAATTTTTTTTTGCTTTGTAAGAATAATAAACATTTCTTCAAAAAAAAAAAAAAAAAGAATAATAAACATGGAAATGGCAGCAGAAGCAGAAGCAGAAGCAGAAGAAAGCATGTGGTGGGAGATTGCCCATCGAAACACACATCCAATCACCATGAGCTGGACTAATACTAAGTCAACCCTCCCTTGGTTCTTATCCTCATTTCCTTTCTTTACTAAACCCCACAACTGAAAAAAGTGTTATAAAGTTGGTTAAAACATCGTATTTTATTTTTATAATATATAATTTTAAGTACAACACGTTTTGAATTATTTTTTTATAGACTTTTCTAAATTTACGAATTTTAATATATAAAATAATCAAAAAAACAAAAGCACTTATCTGCAATTAAATCAGATAAGACAGTTATACTTACAATTTTTATCATGTGAATTTACGTGACAAAAACTACAATAATATTTCTCATCGTTTAAAAACAAATAAGTATTGTTTTTACGCATGAAATTTTGTACGCTTGCAATTTTTAGTTATGGAAGTGTGACAATTGAACTCTACAACCACTAAAACACACATAAAAAATCATCTCTAAATTCAGCCTAAAAGTTATGTTAAATTAAAAAAAAAAAATGTTATTGGCACTCCAAAAATTTTATTTTATACTCCTCATAAATGTATTTTTCATTCCAAATATAGAAAATTTGTAGTGTAGAATGAGATTTTTAGAGTGCCAATAACAATTCTAAAAAAATTTCTCACTTTGTCTTGAAAAAAACTTCAACACTTTTTCTTTATGTTTTCACCTTTTTATTAAAATGTTAAATTTTAAATCATCTCTTTGGATTGTTGAAGATAAACTTAAAGTTAACCATTCATAAAAGGTAGTGATATTCTCACATCATTTTTCTATTATGTACGTATCTTTTTTAATTTTTGACAATCAATCGAATGAATTAAAAAAAAAATCAAACAATAAAAATAACAAAATGTATGTATACAGTAACAAATGTTGTGTAGATTATCACCACGATAAGGAAATCTGTCATGACTTTATGAGGCAAAAGTTGCCCTAAAGATGATGACTCAGATATGGATGTCTTCCAAGTTGGAGCAATGAGCTTATCTATTTCTAGTAGTATGGGAAAGCAAATAAATTCAGACCATAAGAATGTGATGACGACAAAATCTGGGATAAAGCGTTATATAGGTAAATTAAAATTAATATAAAAATATAACAGAACTGAGTGTTATCCATCTCCTCATTAATATATATCCACTGATCCACACATATATATATGCGCTCCCTTAAACAGAAACCTATTGGGAAATTGTATTGTATGTTCTGCAAAATCTTCAACGTTAAGATAGCAGGAAATGGGTCGTCGTGCAGAAGAAAAGAGAGTTTCTGGGAATCGAAATAAAGAAGAAAATCATGCTCACCAAGTCAAAAAGGAATGTTGGGTTTTCGAGGAAGAACATGAAGAAGATATCTGTGACTCGAGATCTGTTGAATCCTCCATGGAAAACTCTATGAGCTCCGCGGAATCATCATCTTCATCTGACTTGGTAGAAGATGCTTCTTCTTCTTCTTCTACGACGTCGTTGTCGTCGAACGGGCCGCTCTTCGAACTATCTGACCTAATGATCCATCTTCCTATCAAGTACGGAGCCGGGCAATGTTCTTTCTGTTTAGGTTGATGATTTATGTTTCCGTTATTATTATAGGGTTTCTGATTAGGGTTTGTTATGTATATGCAGGAGAGGTTTATCAAAATATTACGAAGGAAAGTCACAATCGTTCACAACCTTAGCAAGTGCGACGAGCTTGGAGGATCTGGGAAAAAAGGTGGCACCTTACAGGAAGAAGATGAAGCCATGCAAGAGCTTTGGTGGCGCTTTTGACGGTCACAAATCACCATATCTTTCTCCAAAAGCCATTATTTCAAAGAAAACTTCGAGAGGAGAAGGATCTTTCTTGTATTCCTTAAGTAACAGAGGAAAATTATTGGGTTAATTAATTAGCTAATTAAGCTTTAATTTATCCATCCCTGTACAGAAAAAAAAAATCTAGTTATGCGTAAACACATTAGAAATTTGGCATGGTTTTGTATTGCAGAGTTAGGATTTAATCTTGTAACCGAGAAAAAAAAAAAAGATTTAGATTTCGATCTGGGTATTTTTTGCATGCTAATTAGTTGTTATTTTACAGAGCTCTATTGTTTTGAATATGTAATTATAGAATTCTGTACATAAACTGCACATTTTGGTAACTATAATTCATAATCCGATCACCTTTCTCATCGCGATAATTTTTAGTTTTCGTTTTTTTGTGTTAGAGGTCAAGGCATATTAAGAAAGTAGAAATGGGGGAAGGATGGATGGAGGGTGGTAAGAAAGAGAAGGGAGAAATGGAGGAGAATATACGGATCAAAATAGTGTAAGCAAATAAAATCAAACTAAATAGTTATCGAACGGACTTTTAGGTGACAATTTTTTGTACACCGGTATGGAGGCTTTCACAGAAAGAATGAGGCGTTCCAATAGGTTTAAAAGAAGTTATACTCGCTCTCTTTCTCATCTTACACCTTTATTTTTGCGGTTTTCAAACTGAACAAATCAAATAAAAATTGGACAGAAGTAATAAGAGAAATGCAGAAGAACAAAAATGGAAGCATGAAACTTACTTCCTAGGTTAATTATGGAACTCACATGATTCTTCTGTTTGCAAAACCATAGCCATTGATTTTTATCTACTTTTATCTATCTGTTGATGCAAAACTTCGAATGAGGGAGATACGAACACGACGAGTCGTGTATGAGAAGAGTCGGATTACAATTTTACAGTGCAAGGGAAAACAAGCATTCAAACATCTCTGCTAAGATGGGTTACAACACTGTATTTGTCCACCATCATATCTTGTAAACCGGTTCGATTCCGAGAAGATTAAAACATTTCCTCATCACAACGGCTGTTGCTTCACAAAGCAAGAGTCTGCTCGTTTCCTCAGGAGACCCGACAACCTGCCCAGTTTCGGAAAGCAATGAAGATTCATTAAGATTGTTGCGATCATATTCAACAAAACATCATGTATATTCACCAAATTCCATTGTATACGCCAAGGCATTGCGATTTTCCTAGCATTCGCCTAGTAAGGTAAGGTAAAATTGGAAATGAACAACAATTTGGTTACTTGATTCTGTTATTAAGTAGAAGATCAAAAGCCATCATTGAGTTTATAGTTGGCTTCGGTTCATCCCAGAAAATGTCACATTGTCAATACTCATCTACGTAAAGCATGAGACAAGCAATGACGGGTGTACCTGGCAATTGGAGTAGAATTTTTTGGTGAAGACTTCTGATAAATTGTATAGGTATTCGCACAAAACATTCGGTAATAGATTGGTGCAGGTCTCCTCAACGTTCTGAAAAGTGAAGAGAAAAAAATATAACTGTGAGTTCCACATGTATTGCGGCAGTAATCAACGAAGACTCAAGCTAGGGACACAAGGAAAGCAACAATCAGTTCAGTTATTGCATGCAAATACCTCTGAAAACTGTAGCAAATGAAGCCCCAATTCACGCTCACCGTCATGATCCAACACAATTTCCCCCGTCTGTTTCAAATAAAAAAATAGCATCAGACCTCATCCCCCGGTTTCCAGTGGCGCATAGGAAGCTAACAATGTGGAAAAATGCAGCTGAACTTACCTTTTTCAATTCCTCTATGTTTTTGCCAGATTTCCTTATGATGGAACAGATCCGAGCATGAGCGTAGAGCAAGTAAACAGCAGTGTTTCCCTGCTCAAGTAGTATTCGAGCAGTAGGACAGAAAGCATTAGTAACATAGTTTAATACATATAGGACAAGTAATTAGAACAACGTCAGAAACAAGAGTCTACAACAAAATCTTGAAACAATATTAATGCAAAGCCTTGGCCAAATACTAGTTGACGCACCTTGTCACTTAGCATTTGATCAAAATCAAACGTGTAATTGGTCAATCTGTTGTTCTTCAGATCAGCATACCTGTCAAAAAATTAAGAATATATAAAAATCAAGTCCCGTTCTAGGAAATCTATAGGCTGGACTAAGTATGCAATTACTCATATACATTCTCTCTAATTGTTTTTATAATCTGGATACCATGGAGTTTTTAACCATTCCTAAGGTTCTTCAAGAACTACTACATTGATACATCCATTCACGTTCAGGATGCAGAAAATCTGGGGCAGTGGTCACAGTTTATATGTTCTCGTAAAATTTACCTAGGCTAACCGAACCCATCCATTATGACGATGAGATAATTACAACATAACCACAAGAAACTTATCAAGGTTTAGACGTCTTACTTAACAGCACCGTAACCAACAGCCTCTGCAATTTGATTAAGCTCCTGCTCTGTCCAGCCTGATTATGATTTAAAGAATAATTACCCAATTGAGAAGATTCAGAGGTTAGGAGGTACAGAAGACTAATCTATGCTAAGATAACAAATACAATTCCCTTCAGAATATATTATACATCTCTGTGAATAAAAGGAAGATATACAGTTATACCACATTTATAGACTTTCGAAGATAGGTATAGGATATCATACCACGTTCAACAAGAACCTTTTTGCTACGTTCCTTGGCTTCATCAAGCAAATCAACCAATCGGACCACCTCACTAGAGCGAGTGCGAAAGCGTTTTCCATCTTCTCCAAGAACAAGACCAAAACCAACATGGGTAACTTTTGGTTTCAAGGCGCCATCAGTTGGGAGCCAACCTGCACGTTTAGCTGCCTGAAACCAAACATCAAATTATGTTCAATTATATACCACATCGTATTACCCTATGCCTTAGAAGCGAGAACATGAGCTTGAAAGAAGATTTATGCTACGAGATAAATAATTACAACAAGAAGATAGACCACAAAATGCACAAAACACCCCAAATCAGGGTATGCAGAGAAGGTCACAGTTTTAGCATCATACCTCGAAAAACATATTAAAATGCTGCTGCTGGCCAACATCGGTAACATATATGATCCAATCAGCTTTCTCCTCATTCAGGCGATACCTATACAATACATTACAAGTAGAAAGACGTCAGTAAGAATGACAACTTACTCTCAAGGCTAACTGACTGACCATAAAGTAACGGGTTTGACTTGTAAAATCCAAAAATCCAGGAAAATTATTAAAAAATAAATAAAAAAAAAAAAAAAAAAAAAAAACCCATACCAAAGAGCTGCTAAATCAGTTGAAGCATAGTTGAAACCACCATCGCTCTTGACGACAATAAGGGGGATGTTAAACCCTTCCAGAAAGATTACACGAGCACCCTGGCTGTCCTCAATTAACCCTTTATCACTCAATTCTTTTAAAACCCCAGGAATATATGGGTTATAAAAACTCTCACCCTGTCAGAAATAAAAAGTAACAACAAACGCATATAACTTCACTGCTTACTTTCACCAACTAAAAGTGCAAAATTAAATCCAACAAATATTCTATACTATATACAGTTATTACAAACAAAAAGAATCCATGTTACATTTTGACCACATTGCAATATATTTCAGGGCACAAAAGTAAACAATAAGATCACAGGCGACAAAAGTAAACGTTATATCAGAAGTAGATTATATAAGCAATGCACACTTTATAATCAACACTGCATATGCAAATGCACAGATACAGGCAAACTTTAAATTATTGTTATCATGATCTCATCACAAACCTTTATATCCAATCCAATCGTATACAAACTAATTTATTGTCTTGCAATAATAATGTTTCAACATGGCATCATCTTGGCGTAACTTGTAATCACAGAGTACTACCAAGTACCAACCAACTTGCTGGACAAAACCAGGTTTTCCTGTAATGCACAATCTAGGAGGAAAGGAATAGTACTTAATCTTCTAATGTCCCACTCATAAGAAAAGATTACGTGCATAAGATGAAGTGTATAATATAAAAGCTTCTGTATGCATAGGATGGACATGGCCATCTCATATTATTTTACATTGCGCCTAATTTCAGGTAAACTTTTTGTCTTATTCAAAGGGATACAAGAATATCAATAGCCTGCTGTAAGAGTATCCTGCAAAGTTAGAACATACCTTTTCCTCTAAATGAACTCCAAGGCGCTCATAGACCTTGTGAAATTCTTTACGACTGATTTCACAGATTTTCAGCCATGCATTTCGGTACCTCGGTTCGCCACCCTACAAATTGAGTTGAATCATAACCAATTATTAAGAGAAACATAAAAGACATTCTCACATACTTTTAAATTTTTACTAACATCGTGGACAGAGAGATAAACCTCATGTTCTTTGTACAACTAAAAAATGCATAACTCACCTGAAGGGAAACCACTGCCCGGTGTGCTCTCTCCTTAAAAGCAGGATCATCATCGAATCTCTGTTTTGATGCTTTATAGAATGTCTAACAAAACATCATTCGATTAAAGTCACTAACAATCATTTTTATTTTATTTTCTGATTCATCATATCATGCCAAAGGAAGTTTACTAAAACAGAATGCACACGATAAATAATACAATAAAAGCATTTAAACGACTAAAAGGTAAGGAGAATACTTTCACTCACCTGCAGATCACCAATGGCCGTTTCATTAACATCTTCTATGTTTGGGAACTTTTCAAAAAGAAACTCAATCAACATACCAAACTGCAATAGACATAGAACTTATTAGAGCCATATCTTACTGATGAAAAAAAGGAGTGCTTCTCTATCAAGCATATCGACCAATGAGCTAGGAAGACAACTATCTGCCTATCGCTGTATTCCTAGGGTCAGAAGGGTGTGATCGTTACACTAACAAAGGGTATAATCACAAACACAAATAAAAAATGCCTATAGTATGCATGTATGTAAACATAACATGTGTGTAAAAGGCAAGTACCTACATGTTAAATGGTAGGGAAACCTGAAATGTCCAAGTTTACCAATAGTTTCTCTTTTGGAATCTGGATTAGTTACATATGCTATAAAAATGCAAAAACTACATCACCTGTGTCCCCCAGTCACCAACATGATTTCGTCGAAGAACTTCAACATTTGAAAACTCCAGAATACGAGCTAGTGTGTCCCCAATAATAGTTGACCTTAAGTGGCCCACATGCATTTCTTTAGCTATATTAGGCGAGGAAAAGTCAACCACAGCCCTTTTGATCGGAAGCTGTGGCGCCCATTTATCGATGCCATCAATAAGCATCTTTTGTATGCTCTGCACCAACAATTATTCTCAGTTACAAGTCCATTTAAGTAAGAACTTTATATCCCTAAATAATCTACTATGTCCACACCAACGAAAATTAATAATTGAACAAAGAAGCCACACAAAAAAAATTAACAATTGAATAAAGAAGTTATCAGTATAATTTTCAGTCGCATAAAAGTTCAAACAATACCTTAGCCAACCATTTCTTTGACAAGACAACATTCACAAATCCAGGTCCTGCTACAGAACACGATTCTATGATCTCTGAATCAGGAAGATTTTTCATGATTGCCTACAAAATGAAACATCAGTCATTATTCAATGCTATCAACTCAACGCCTAAATAGAAACCATAACCGTCTAAGCCACAATTATAGAAAATATAGATAAAACAAGTTCAATGTAGAGAAGTACAGTAAAGGTGAACGTTAGTACCTGTCCCACAGATGGAGGACCCCTAAACTCACTGCCCTTTCCTTTTACTTTAGACCATAGACCCATGGCATTGTTACTGCACCAAAGAAAGACTTGCGAGTTCAGAAAGAAGTCCGTACAAGGCATGAATTACAGATTGAAATATATTTTAAGTGACAGCAACAAAAAAAAAAAAAATACATTCTTTTACAGTTGCAAGAAAAATCCAAAAGTTTACAATTTAGAATAAAAGACTATAATGTACCATTGATAATCGCCAAACTTCCCAGTGCAAGCAGCAATCACTGGCTCAACATCAGGCTCATCGGGGACTATTCTTCTGAGCGAGACTTCAAACAATTTCGCTAACTGTCGCTTTGTATTTCCCACATTCTCTTCTTCCTGTGCCAAACAACAGCCACAAATCAGATACAAGCATACAACTCAATTGTCCCGAAGATTACCTGCTCAAAACATAATGTGCGGCACCATAAGCTACACATTGCAGGAATATTCTCACAGTCAAACACACACACACACACACACACACACAAAAAGCTAAACCAAGTTGGTAAAAAGTAAAAGTTATGTGTAAAGGAATAACTTACAGTCGCCATTGTGGATACTGAGTGGGACTTTGCTGCAAAAATAAGCTTCCTAGATGCCGCCTTCAACAAGTCTGTCTAGTTTCACAATTACTACATTAAATTACAACAAAAATTATGAATTTCGAACTTCTCAAATCAAATTAATAAAAACCCAAAAAAAAAAAAAAAAACTGAATAAAAGTTCAGTTAATTAGAAAAACTAAAAGCATAAACCTTGAGATAATTACAAAAAAATATAAGCATAAAACTGAGTTGCATTCATGAACTTCTGAAAGAGTAGAATACATAAAAGGAACCCACAGAAACAACCCATTTCAATATCGAGAGTGAGCAGTAAAAAGCATCAATCTTTACATATATTTCCTGAAAGAATCAACCTTTACATACATACATATATATATATATAACTAGAGAGAGAAATAGAGGAGAGAGAGAGAGAGAGAGAGAGAGAAGAGGGCTCACCGGCGGCGGGGAGGGAAGGAGAGGGGTGGAGGGAAGAGAGTCGACAGAGGGAAGGAGAAATCGGCGCTATCAGGTTTAAGTGGGAACCTAGCATGTTACTTTCTTCTCTTTTTATTTCTGTTTTCCCTCGAAATTTTTCTCTATTTATATATTCGTCTTTTTCGTTGCCCAATTTTTACAGGTTGGAATAAAAGTTCCATTTGATTGGCCAATGGGACGATGCCATGTCATCCAAAAGTTGATAGGGGTCCCACACGTCGAAGGGCTTTGACAAGCAAATATGTTTGGACTGGAGGGTGGACTTTGAAATTTTGGACTTGCAGTACACGGCAATCTTAGAAAAAGCCCAAGTTCACATGTGTTTATGTATGCTTGTAGCCCAAGTACAATGTTCGTATTTTAAAATAACTATAAGCGTTTTAATCATAAGCGACCAATCACGTTTGATAAAAAAAAGTTAAAAGTGTTTCTAAATTCAATTTTGTTGTGTGATTCTTTCCAGAAGAATTTTAAGAGCGCATCTGGAAATACTTGTAAAATAGCTGAAAGTGCATTTGCAAGAAGCACTTAAGTTGTTCCATGATCCACTTGAACTTGTATTAAGAATTGGTTTCAAAAATATTTTCACTAAAAGAGTTTTTAGTTATTTTGAATGCACTTACAAACAAGCCTAAGTGTTTTACTAGGGACACTTTCATTTTTGTTATAAATTTTAAATGTAATGATAGTGAGATCAACTATTTAGACCAAATTTTGTTAATTATATAACGTGGTAGCTGATGATTGGATTATTACTTAAATATTGATTAATGTGTTTATTTCATACTCATTGACATATCATATAATTTGCAAATTTAATTTAAAAAATTGGGTTACCTAGCATTACTCAAGTTTTAATGCACGTCAAATAGAAATTTTTTTTTTACTGAAAGTACTTATGATTAGAAGTGTTTTTAAAGAAGCAATTCCAAATAAACATTAAATATATGAGAGAGAACGTGTAGTGATGAGAGATGGCGAGAGATTGGTTTTTTTTTAAATTAAAGATGAAAATGTTTTTTCGTTCTCTTTTGACTGACAAAGAGAGTTTCGTTAATGTAATTTTAGATGAAATTTGGTTGTTCTTATCCGATGGCCTCAAACCAGTCAAAAACCTCCACCTTTCCTCTCCTCCTGTATAAATAGAGGGCAAGTCTTCTTACAAGTTCACGGATTTACAGCGAGAGAGATCGGAGTCCAAAAGGTTGAGTTGAAGAGAGAGATGAAGAAATACAGTGGGAATGGGAAACAGGGGCAGAAGGGAATGGAAACCTGGGGAGGTGAGGAAGGACAGAAAGTCGGGGACTGGAATGAATGGATCGCCAAAGAAGGGAGGGCGTGGAGGTAAGTACACTTGGGCTGGAGATGTTGCCTACTCTCCGGCCGAGATGGGGTTGCAGAAGGAGGTTTTCGATGCGAAAGATCCCAACTTTGAAGACCCAGAAGAGATCACAACCGTCTGATCATCATCATTGATGATGTTGATTATGATCTTCGATGTTAATGTAGTTTTTCAGTTGAGGAAATGAGATGTACATAGATAAAGCCAAATGGGGGCGATGATCCTTACATTGTGTACAAGTTTTTAAATTAAGTAATGAGGTTTGATTAAGTAATGAGGTTTGATTGTCTTCTTTTTGTTTGCGCATCATCTGATGATGTTTATCTTTACATTCTGTCGCGATTCAGTGAGATTTAGCCATGCGTCGCTTTAATTTGTCTAATTCAATGAGATTTAGCCATGCGTCGCTTCAATTTGTTTCTTCCGCTGTCTTCCTCCTTTTTAAGTCTCTCTTGAAAGGAGAGGGGAGGATCCGAATCTGCCCATTTGGCTATACATGTTATTTTTCTGAGGCATCAAGTAGCTAGATGCTAATAGATTCACATTTATCAGCCTATTCAAGAAACAATTAAGAAGCGTGGCATGAGATTCGCGGTGGAACAAGTTCGAAAGTTGTTCTTAGTTAGCATTCCTCTGCAACAAAAGCAATATCCTTGAATTCGGGGGAATAGGATGCGAAAAGCAAAAGATTATAAGATGTGAATAACTCACAGATTATGTATACAGAAAGCAGCATCCCTTGACAGAAGCACAACAATTACATAACGAGCGCAAGGGATAACGTGGGATATGAAATCAAGGACATGCAGAAGAGGTTACAAAGGCCAAACCAAACCGATATGCTTGCTGTAATTGTACTTTTTTACCATGCTGGTCGAACTTTTCTTCACAAATCTCCACCTCTTGGGCTGTTTGGTTCTTGGTCTGACAAGAATCGGCTCTGGAAACACATTTTGATGCCTGTTTACTGCAGTCCACAAACTATCATTCGAGATAGACCTTCATGGTATTTCCAGTCATCAAGTTGTCATGTTAATTTGCCGTTGATGATTTGTGATGCATGTTTAACAGCTCTAGAGACTCTATAAACTTCATGTTGTACAATTTTCCATGACTCTGCTGTCTTCAAACTCTTTGCCTTTTCGATGGCTTCACCTATGCCCGGGAAGGATACAGATCCATAATCATCATGCTTTGAGGGCCCATAAATCTGGAAAAACAATTAACTAATCACAATCTGAGATCACCAGGCTGGGAAAACTTGTTTATTTTTTGTCTAGGAAACTAGGTACCCAAATTCGCAAACATACCATATGCTTAAACCATGACCTTCCTAAGAGTCCGTCTTGATCTGTAAATGCACGCTCCGCCATCATAAGTCTGTCATTCAGCTCTCTCACCTTAAGGTGATCTTTCTTTCTGGTAAATAGATTAGCTTTGCATTGTTCTATTTCCTGTAGAATTACATGCTTCAGAATTTGGGACACACGAGAAATGGAAGTGTAGTTTATTGTTTCTAAGAACACAAATGATACCTCTCTCTGGCTGTTTATATTTGCAGCTGCTTTCTCGAGCTCCTCAATGGACTTGAACAGAGGAGTTAGGTTTATGTTCTTACCTGAAAGCTCATCTTCCAGGTCGTTCACGTAACTCTGTCATTCAATATTATTCAGGTTGATTGCAAATATATTTGTCACTAAATGCCTGTGCAAAATCCTTTTAATTGTAAAGGGTTGCATGCAAACGATACATTTGATTATTTCAAGAGCTCATGAAGTGGTGAACAGAAGATAACGTTCTTGTACCTGTAGCTCCAGTGCATAGGAGAGATAATTAAAAGGCAAGACTTCTGCATCAGCTAGCCAAAGAGCTACCAAACCCCATAAACTTGCCACTGCGTTCAAGACCAATGAAATCTATTGAGGTGTTTGAATAAACTTTCAAGGGGATGCTGACCAGAATTGTTAAGAAAGAAAACTTATGGCTGACCTGCAACATGCCTTTGAAACAATGGATCACCGAACCTTTGCATCCATATAAAGTCGTCATACATTGAATGGTATACTGGGTATCCTGTGATTCCAAAATCATTTGTTATTATCTCAAAGCGTAATGCTTCCTATTTTTCAGTGGTAACAATATTGTGAGAGTTTAAGTCGCGTCAAATGTGTTACCTTTACCGAAAGCCATGTCAGCTGCTGGAATTCCAATATGATGAACAAAAGCTGCAAAATCCGATTCTCCGCTTCCCAACCTGCCAATCTTTGTATGCAAAATACTGCATTGTTTGAGCACTAGTAGTTTCACTAAAGTTTTCAGAAACCCATTCAATAAAAAATGGCAGACTTGTCCTTGAATTCTAGAACAGAGGATCTATGAAGCAATTGCTTACCATAGGCGAGCTGCTTGAACCAACCCATGATTGGTAAAGGGTTTGGGATGAGTTATCTGGGTCTTTAACCTTCAATAAAAAATTTGGATATGATTGACATGAGTTAGAAACTATGGCAGAAACAAGAAATAATTTGAAATTCCTAATCATATTATGGCTCGAAGGCCCATTGTATGCAGGATCTTTGTTGCTTTCCAATGCTGCACCGTATTCAAGTACTGTTAGTATCTCTATACTAGTTTGCAATACCTGTTGAGTAGCTTGTTTAAGCAGTTCATCAAGCTGTGGAGTTGACGCGGCCCAGAATCCTGGGCCGTATACCGCACTGTCAACATTCAAGTAAGCAATGGCCTTTGAAGCTAGCATGTGCCTGTTTTCTTCTACCCATTCAGTTGATCCTATCTGTCGACAGCTTTGAAAATTTCAGAGAGAAATAGAGAGAGATAGATATCACACACACAGACAGAGAGAGAGGAATAGAGACCAGGCCATATTCCTCAGCATCCCAATTACACAAGACAATTGTACGCCGAGGCTTCCACCCTCTTTTCTGCAGCTTCCCTAATCTTTGGGCAATCTACATTACACATCGAAAGCAGCTTGTATTAATTTTTCCTCGTACAGAAGGAACTGGATGAGGATACATCATTCAAATCCACAATACCTCAAGCAATGCTGCAGTTCCACTATTTGGATCAACGGCTCCAAATGTCCATGCATCCCGGTGATTGCCCAAAATGACAAATCTACATAAATTTAGCAACAGAGTGACTACTCATCCGAAATTTTGTTTCCTTCATCGATAAAAGTCCAATACGATCAATACTAGCTAGTGTCAGTTTCTTCTCTTAACATGTCCTAATTCTCTTCTTGAATGCACACTCGAATCCGTATGAACGCTACTGATGCTTAAAATCCGAACTTCTAGTTGCAAAAAGATTTCAAACGTACCGGTCAGGTTCCTCTTCTCCTTCTATGACACCAATCACATTCTCAATTCTCCCTATGACTTGCTTCCCCTGATACAAACATCCAGAATTAATGCAATAATAGCAACTTTCTGCATAATTAGACCCACTTCATGCTACTATAGGAATGCTTAAATTTCCGGTTTTGCATTTTACGCAGATTTTTTACGTTTTCATACCTCCCGTCGTGCATTTTTCGTAAAAACTGACCACAACGATCCTCGCTCGACAATAATATGTATTTCAAGTTTCGAAATCTTAGAACACAAGAAATTCATTCACTTACAGTGTAACTGAGATGCACAATCCCAGGACCAGGACCAACCCTATAAACCGGAGCATCATCACTTCCCTGCCAATCATCATTTGCCACCTGCCCTCCAATAGCCCTCAAAATGGTTTCGCCGTCCGCCGCGGAAATGGGCAGTGACGGTATCTTCCCAACATCCCCTGCCTCCTCCACCTCCTCATCCGAAAGCCTCTCACACTCTTCACTACTAGCCCACCCCGGCGTCGTAGGATCACCATACGCATTGTAAACTGACCCCACCTGGACCCCACTTGGCGGCAGCCATTTCTCGTCTGGAACCACTTTGCTCCGCCGCCTCCGCCGTAGTCCTTCCTATCTGTATACACCAGAACCCCAACAGCCCCCGCTTCATACGCAATTTGCACAATACTCCCTCTGTAAATACTCCCATACTTCGCCAACACAATTTTTCCAGAAACGTTAACTCCCATTTTTTCCAAAGTCCAATAGTCCTCCAAAGTTCCATAATTTACAAATACCACCGGCGCTTCCACAGTTCCCGACTTTGCATAGGCATGGAAAGTGGGCAGGACTTCATCTGCCACGTCGGCGTAGGGATCGCCGCCGTAGACTACTTGCCGGAGGTCGAACTCGATTTGGGTTTGTGGGTCTTGCGGTAAAGGTGTGAGCTTTAGGGAGCGTGAGACAGGGTAAGTAAGGGCAACTTGGTATGGGGCGATGTGGGTTTTGATGTTGGAGGAGGTGAAGACGGAGAGGACGTAGGCGGCGGCCTCGGCGTTGGCTTCTTGGCCGGCCACGTGGGGGCGACGAGTGAGGGTGTGGAGGTGGTGAGAGATAGAAGCATTGTCTGAAAGTGAGGGGGATGTGAAGAGAGAGTGGTAGGAGGATTTTGGGGTTGGAGAAATGAGAAGGAAGGTGAAAGTGGTGGCTATGGCGGCCAGCAGAGTGGCTGCTGCAGCAGTTTGGATAATCATGGAGTATTATTTTTTAGTCAACGGATAATCCTGGAGTTTAATCTGTAATAATCCTGTATGCGGATGATGGCATTGGATTAATCACTGGGCAGTCGTGTATTAGATAGTGATTAGAGAAAGGTTTAATTTTTAATTACATTAGTGGCGAAACGGGGATTTGGAAGCCGGTGGTTTGCTGCTGGATTTGTCAACAGCAAAAGGACTAAACCATTTTTCAAAAAAAAAAAAAAAAAAGAAAAAAGAAAAAAAAGGGACTAAACCATGGCGATAAAAAGTAAGGGGACCAAAATGATAAGCATGATCGATTTTAAAAGTAAGGATCGGTTCAATCAATCTCATAGGCTACTGGTGATGTGAATGAGTATCCTCTTTGAATTCTCTTGAATTCTAGGGATTCTCTAATCGTACCTGTTAATCGTATATCGTGCTGTCAGTTTTCGTCAAGTACTATTTATATTCAATTTTAAATAAAATAATTTTTGACTACACGATATACGATGAATGTACACGATTGGAAGATCCTCGGATCCTCACAAAGAAGATACAGAGAGGATCCTCATTCGAAAACCTTTAAGATTAACACAACAATCTCAACATTAGATAATGGCTTATCAGTTAAAATAATCATTCAAATTGACATAATTTTTTATGTTGGTTCTGAGATTTAAAATATATATACGTGATTCTTTAGTTTCTCCACTGTTAATCGCTTTAGTCATTCCGTTTAAATTTTCCGTTAAATAAAGAGAAAATGACATTAATACTCTCAATTTTATTAAATCATTTTAGCCCTTTATTTATTAAATTCAATAAACTGTTGTCCCTTTGGTGTAATTTTTGTGGCTTCATTTTATTGAATTTGTGATTTCTACATTTGTGCCACTTCAATACACTAACATAATAGTTGATGGAATTTAAGAGAAAATATCAAATTAACCTGTTTTAATAAATGTTAAGAATGAATTTAAAAATAAATGATCAAAATAATGGTTCGATCAATCTCCAAGCACAAGTGCGCATGCCACGAGACCTTACAAACTTGATGTGAGTTGCTGGAATTCGGAGATGGTCAAATAGATGAAAGTTAGACGATAAAAGCAAAAACTTGTATAGTTTTTTTGTCAAAACAAAAACTTGCTGACTCTTTTGGGCTCCAAAATGCAGGAAAGCTGCTTGAAAACCATGTTTAATTGTTAATGAGTATTCCATTTATTCGTATTAGAAATGAAATAGTTTTAGGTTCGACTCCAAACTTAAGCAACGGTATTCCCAAAAGATCGGTAAATTATTTTGGTGTCTAGAGAATTGTTGTAAAGTAATATGGGTTACAGAGAAACATTGTGATATGATACTAACATAAAAGAAAGAAAATTACACTTCATTCAATTCATAATCCTTACAACATATAGCACCTACTGACTTTTTCCTAATTTTTTTTTTATAAAACAATATATTTACGCTAAGAGAATGAGAGAATAAACTGGTTGCAAATTATGCATTGTTACATGCATGTGCATGCTGAAAGGCTGACAGAGGGTGCCTTGTAATATTTTCCCTAGCAAAACACAAGCTGGTATGTCACGTGTTATTTGGTTCTCAATGACAGAACACTAACTGGTGCTCTACGTGTTATAGTAATAGTAAGTACTTCACAAGTTATATTATAAGTGAAAAAAGAATATATTTTTTCGTGCTCTTCTATTTGTATTATAAAATATGATGCATTGACTCGTTCTAGATACACTGAAAAGTCTCTTTTCCAATTGAAGACAACCAACTATCAAGATGTTGTGTGGTTGAGATATTTAACTCTCAATATTTATTGGAGGCCAACTACTACTCCAACCGACATATTTACATTGATCTGTAGCATTTTCATTTTATCTCACTTCAAAGTGCGTGGTACTCTCTCTCTCTCTCCTCTCATTATTTTTCACAAGATGTTTGCAATATTTCAGTGACAAACACATCGAACACATTTACAAAATACGAAAACTTCACACGTGTTTGATTGGAAGTAGGGGAAATACATGTAGTTGTTTGTTACTGATGTTTGTCATGTTAGTTCGCCATTGATGACTTGTGATGCATGTTTCACAGCTCTGGAGACCCTATAAACTTCATGCTGTACAAATTTCCATGACTCTGCGGTGTTCGAAATTTTCGCCTTTGCAATAGCATCATATATGCCAGGGAAGGATTCCGACGCATAGTCGTCATACTTCGAAGGCCCATAAATCTGCAAAAGTACCATACCAATTAGTCCATCTTGTAACAATCAAAATCCGAGATTACTATGTGAGGAAAACAAAACGCTTTTGAGAGATGGTTGAACGCAAATGAAAGAGCAACGGAAACAAAACTTTAGTACAATTTACATGACGATTTGTAAGGAACATACCAAATGCTTATACCACGACCTTCCAAATAGTCCGTCTTGATCTGTAAATGCACGCTCTGCTATCATTAGTCTGTCATTCAGCTCTCTCACCTTCAAATGATGTTTCTTCCATGTCAACTGCCAACCTTTGTTTTGTTCTATTTCCTGGAGAATCATGGTTCAGTTCTGTAATCATAAGAAATGAAAGTGTTTGATCACGAGTAATAGGAAACTCAATCGATACCCTTCTTTGGTTGTTTATTTCTGTGGCTGCTCTTTTAAGCTCTTCAATGGACTTCAACAGAGGAGTTAGGTTTATGTTTGTGTCCGAAATATCATCTTCCAAGTCATTCGCATAAGTCTGGCATTCAGAGTTCAATATATTATTTTGTATTGCACAAGTGTCTCCCATAACCGATACATTTTATAATTCGAGAGTGCATGTAGTGGTTGATTAGAAGAAAATGTTTTCCGTACCTGTAGCTCCATTGCGTACGAGAGATAATTAAAAGGCAAAAGTTCTGCATCTGCGAGCCAAAGAGTTACCAAACCCCATACACTTGCAACTGTGATCGACACCAATCAATTCAATCTAGGTGCTTGAATTAAATTGTCAAGGGGGATGTAAGTAGAATTGTCTGAGATGTGTTCAGTTAAGAAAGAAATCGTAAAGGCTGACCTGCAACATGCCTATGAAACATCGGATCACCAAATTTCTGCACCCATATAAAGTCATCATACATTGAATGGTACACCGGGTATCCTGCAATGTTAGATATGTTTCTTAGTAATTAAAAGCATAATTTTCCTATTTTTTCAGTGGCAACATGGTTTGAGAGCTTAGGTCACGTCTAATATGTTACCTTCGCCGAAGGCCATGTGAGTTGCCGGAATTCCAAGATGGTGAACAAAAGCTGCAAAATCTGATCCTGCACTTCCCAACCTGCCAATCTTTGTATGCAAAATACAGATTTTTAGCAGTATCATACTCATCAAGTTTTTAAAATCCATTTGTTGAAAATCATCTTCCAACATTTTTCTATGGTAAATTAGTGCAATACTTCTGCTTACTGGTTAGACAGAAATTGTACTGTTTTTTTTTTATCACCGGTATGATGCCCTTCTGGAATTTCATTGAAATTCTATATGGAGGAGTTCGGTGAAGCAATTTCTTACCTTAGGCGAAGTTCTGGAACCAACCCACGATTGGTAAAGAGTTTGTGATGAGTTATCTGGGTCTTTAACCTTCAACAGCCAATATTGAATACGATTGAGATGGGTGAGAAATTTATGACAGAAATCAGAAGAAAAAATTGGAACTCTAAATCATATTAAGCATCCACGTATATGTAGCACACCATATTTTGCTACCCCATTACCATATGCACAAGTAGGGTGAGCATATCAATAATATTTCGCCGTACCTGTTGAGTAGCTTGTTTAAGCAGTTCATCAAGATGCGGAGTTGCGGAGGCGAAGAATCCTGGACCGTGTACTCCACTGTCAACATTCAAGTAAGCAATAGCCCTTGAAGCTAGCATTTCCCTGTTTTCTTCTACCCATTCAGTTGATCCTATCTGTTTGTGTTTAGTTTAAAACTTCAGATATAGAAAATAAGATATAAATTTGATACACACACGCACACACAAAGAAAGAAAGAGGGAGAAAATGAGAGACCAGGCCGTATTCCTCTGCATCCCAATTGCACAAGACAATCGTACGTCGAGGTTTCCACCCTTTTTTCTGCAGCTTCCCTAATCTTTGGGCAACCTACATCACACATCAGAAGTAGCTTCTGCTAAGTTTTCCTTGTTATGAAGGAACTTGATGATGATACATAATTCAAATCGACAATTACCTCTAGCAGTGCTGCAGTGCCACTATTTGGGTCAACGGCTCCAAATGTCCATGCATCCCGGTGATTACCCAGAATGACCAATCTACATAGTTTTGGAAAAGGAGTAATAATCATGCTAAGGTAGAAGTGCTCACGTTCAAATCAGAATGATGCTGATACTAAAATTCAAGACTTCTAGCTGAATTTTTTTCAACATACCGGTCAGGTTCCTCTGCTCCTTCTATGACACCAATCACATTCTCAATTCTCCCTATGACTTGCTTCCCCTGAAACCAATATCCAAAATTAATACAAATATAGCACGCTGTATCATATATTCAGTCATATATACATACAATGCGTGTAAGAATATACAAAACACATGAAATTGCTTCACTTAAAACTTGATTTGAGACTTACTGTGTAACTGAGATGAACAATCCCGGGACCTGGTCCAACGTTATAAGTTGGGGCATCTTCACTCCCTTGCCAATCCTCATCTGCAACTGGCCCTCCGATAGACCTCAAAATGGTTTCTCCATCTACTGCTGAAATCGGAAGTGAAGGAATCAATGGAACATCCCCTGACTTCTCCACCTCCTCATCTGAAAGCCTCTCACACTCTTCAGTACTTGCCCATCCTGGTGTGGTTGGGTCACCAAGTCCATTGTAAACTGTTCCCACTTGAACCCCGCTTGGTGGCAACCACTTATCATCTGGAAACCACTTTGCCCCACATCCACCACCGCCATAGTCCTTCCTATCTGAATACACTAGAACCCCTATAGCACCTGCCTCATATGCAATCTGCACAATGCCCCCTCTATAAATTTTTCCATACTTTGCCAACACAATCGAACCCGAAACATTTACTCCCATTTGTTCTAATCTTGCATAGTCCTCTGAACGTCCGTAATTGGCATAAACCACAGGGGCAGTGACATTTCCTGACTTTGCATAAGCATGAAAAGTGGGCAGGACTTCATGTGCTACATCAGCATAAGGATCACCCTCATAGATTTCTTGCTCAAGACGGAAACTGATAGGGGATTCTTGTGGTGACGGCGTGAGTGTTAAGGAGCGTGACACCGGATAATGCAAGGCCACACGGTAAGAGGCAATGTGGGATTTGATATTGGAGGAAGCGAAAACGGAGAGGACATAAGCTGCAGCCTCGGCGTTGGCTTCAAGGCCTGCCACATGGGGCCGGCGGGTGAGGGTGTAGAGGTGGTGAGATATGGAGGCATTGTCTGAAAGCGAATTGGAGATGAAGAGAGAGTGGTAGGAGGATTTTGGAGTAGGATAAAAGAGAAGGAAAGTGAAGGAGGTGGCTATTGCTAGCAAATTGGCTTTGGCTGTTTTCTTCACCATGGAATCCAATCTTTCAGTACAAAGTTAGAGGTCCTAGTGTATATCAGTATACACATTCATGAGACAATGATCCTCCTAGTTCGAATCGAAATTCACGACAAGAACAAGATAATCATCCAGAAAAGGTTAACATTTTATATAATTAATGAGAAAAATGCTATCTTTCAGTTCCTATATGGGAGAAACTCTTAAATCAATAGATTTCGTCGATATTTCTAACATATCAGTCAAATATCAAAAAAACTCTTATATTTCGTCTAAACTAGAGTTTGACAATCCCTAAAGTTTCATTTTAAATTTCCACTTTCTTTAGCAAATTTCCATCATTTCTATCAAAGGCAACTGAAATCGATATCATATCGATATATCCATCTTATTTCCACAAATTTGCATATCAACATTTCTACCGATAACGATATTTTAAGCACTGGTTACACTAACACTAAGAGTATCTCTCACTAATATCATCTTGTTACTTTAATTATAATACAAATCTCTGCAAATTGATTGATCAAAGTTTAATTACCTTTTTTTTTACAGAAAGCACAACCTCTTCTCTTCCCTTCAACTTGCTGCTAATGATTCAGTTTCCATCTCTGACTCTAGTGCATGATTTTTCTTTTCCTGTCAAGAAAAACAAAGCCCAAATTATTTTCACAAAAAATTAAAGAACCAAAATTTACTAAAATATACGAGAAAAATTAAACCTTTGAGCAGAAGAAAGCTGGGAGGAGGAGCTGAAGAAGACGAACAAGGCCGAAGACTTTACTGACAGTAGTGTGTTAAATATGTCCTCTCAACTGCAAAAGCACTAAAACGCAATTTTCAAATAGTTTGGAGTGAAGTAAATGCAATCATGCAAACAACCGTGGGGTCAATTAGTAAATAAGGGTAAATCTAGGTCTCCCCCGTCAAAGGTTCCTCACAACTAGTTCCTGTTTTTAAAACGACTAAACAGATTTTAGAGAAAATATTTTTTAGATCCAAAAACACTTTAACAATAATCACAGTCACAGGACTGGTACCATTATCCAAGACCACAAAATCTCAAAGTTACGGTGTTAATGGAGGCAACAACATCAGAAACACAAGGACCGATTGCATCAACGATTACAAACTGTTGAGAGAGGTTAACAATAAGTTACTGACGTTTAAATCTAACAACAAAACGATTGTCTGATAGCGTAACATGTCTATCATTAAGAATTACTGTAAAGTTGTGAATTATTATCAATGTTCATAGAACTTTAGTAATGCTCGTCTACAACTTAAATTACAATTGGACTAAAATGCCTCTTGCTATGATACGATGTTGTTACTTTATTCCTTTTGAATTATTTGATACTAATTTTTAACCTTCTTATTGTCTCATACCTTGCCGAATGAATACATAGATTATGAACAAAGGATATGACAGACAGATTATTGAAGAAACAAATTGTTTATATCAATACGTGCTTATTTATGTTTAAAGAAATACATAATTGTTTTAAGAAATATAAATTGTAAAATAAAATAAAATAAAGATTATAAAGTATTAGAACATTTTAAAAACTTGGGGAACAAACATATAATGAGTGTTCATCCAAATATTTAACAAGTCTCTTCATTTTATTGACTAATAAAATACAAAATGAAAGTTATATATTTTTTGTTTAAATGAAAGTTGTGACCTAGATAAGTCCCTCAAGCTAGGCAACCCACGACCACCGGGTGGGTTAGACGATACCTAAACGAATCTAGATGCACTTTATTAATTTTAAACACCTAAAAACTAATCAGAACTGTGGTAAATTGCCTAACATCTAAACATAACTTAGGCCCCGTTAGCCGGAAATTTTTAAAACAGTGTCTTATTCTATCAACAAACAATAGAAAGCAGCTAAATTAATTTTGGACACGAATAAGGAGAGCCAACTTGTAGTGCAAGTACTAAAGAAGACCAGAAACAAAAGTTGAGCAGATAAAATTCTTGCACATCACCAAAATTCCCCCACACAAGTTTGTTTACGTGGCATGCTTCCAAGAGGGCCTTAAGTTTGAGGGAGTCAGTTTGTCTACTTCTGCATGTGGGCCTAGCGATCCTCTCAGCTCGGTAAGAATTTTCTTTTAATTGTGACGGTATGTTGAGTCACGAATACACTATCATGCTAAATGTTAAAATGAATGATAGTATATTACATTATTGATTTAGAATATCAATATGATGAGCATTCAAAGAGAAACGTTACGGGACTCTTTGAAAGTGAAATTCTCAAATAAATTATCTACCACTTTTCAGTTTAACGTTAATTCATGTGTTAAAATTATAAAATATTATGGCAAAAGCATAAGTTGCAATTTTGGGAGAATCAATAGAGAGTTCCACTTTTGAGAGAATCCCACAGTATTTCTCTCATTCAAAATAATATTTTCCTTTAGAGCAGTCTACAGCCAATTCAATTATTCATGTTGTAAGTAAGTTTTTCTCCTCAACACACCATCAACTACTCCTGAACTGTTATAAAAATCCTCACCTAGGCAGCTCACTACTGCCCCAATTAATCCCTAAGCATTTGAAAAATTAAGAAATAGCGCCTAACCCTACTTAGGTGCTTGTCTAGTCTGCTCAAACCTGCCCAGGTCGCGACTCTCACTTCGACAAAAAAATATATTGCATTTTTTTTGGTAAGAGACTTGTTGAATTCTTAGATGAACACACATTACATGTTTGTTATCCATGTTTTCATTATGTTATAATACTTTATAATATATATGTCATTCTATTTTACAGTTTTTGTATCTTAATGAAATTATGTATTTTTTAAGTATAAGCAGACACTTATTTATTTGATATAATAAATTTACTTAAATCTGCTTAGGCAATCTCCAACTGAAGGAGGGCCAAAGGACCATGTTTAGCTCTATAGCCTTGCAAGAAATTATATTTTAATAAACAATGACATACCATATTTTATATCATCTCCAACCAAAGGGGCCAAAGGGCCATGCCCAACAAAAAAAAAAAAAAAAAAAAAAAAAAACTAATCTCCAACCGATGGGGTCAAAGGGTCATAGGCCAAACATAACCCCCTCAATAATTTATTATTTTAATTGAATTAATAAGGTTAATTAAATTAAACTATCATATTAAAATAAGATTTTCAAACATATTTTGAGTGCCACTTGCCACAATAACGAAGAAAGCGTGGTATTGTTGCACTTGCCATAAAGTCAAGCTTGACATTCTGCAGCTGGAGGGCTGGCTAGAAATGGCCAGCTCGTTGGCCTAATTTGAAGGTTTTGGCGCGGTGGGGCCCACAAGCCTTTTGACCTAGCCTTCGGTTGGAGATGGTTTTCGTGTCATTTTAAACTATTTTTAGCCCTATGACCCTTTGACCGGGTCAGTTGGAGATAGCCTTAACTGCCTAGACGCTAGGTCTTAACATGTCGCTCAACTAGCTCTTAATGTCTTTTAAAACGTTGATTAACCATAACCACATATTTAGATAGTAATCGAATCGGTGCATAACTGGACCCCATGTTCTATTGACGGCCATGATTAAGAGGTCGGTAGAAGCTAGGAAGTGGGTTTTATAACTCACAAAACATTATCTTAATATTTGTAGTCACATAAAACAACCCATTTCCCCCTCACAAGTCACAAGAATATATTCACACTCACACACAAACAGAAAGAGAGACACTCACGGGCACCACCAAGCAACTACAACACAAAAAGGGGCAAAAACATTTGACAACAATTTTTATACGCAGAAAGTGCTTAAATTCTCCCTCCCTCCCTCTCTCTCTCTCTCTCATTACATGAATGTCCATAGAAGCACCCGTGACTGACTCTCAGTCTTTGATTCCAATTAAGCATCACTTTCCACCTAAAAACAAAAGCTACCAACTTGTATATAAACCAAACCAAATCAAACCCCTTCGTTCTCTCTATATATAATGCACTTGGAATTCCATTCCCTAATAATAACATAGTCCCTAGTCTCTATACTCCTTTCATTCTCATTCTCATTCTCATTCCTAATTTTTATTTTGCGTCTCACTTTACCTCCTGCCATAAAATTAGATGTCAACGTTATTCCAACACATTTTCTATGTTCTTATTCTTCTTCTCCTCCTCTATTCAACCCCATCACAGTGCCACTCGAAGGGACTCCGACCGGGAAATCCGGCCGGAAACGTGCACTTAACGAAGAACATGACTCGAGCCCAATTATCAGAACAGCAATTCATGAAGTGGGTTAAGTTTGTTGGAAGCCTCAAACACTCTGTTTTCAAAGCAGCAAAGAACAAGCTCTCTCCTTCTTTTACTCTGCATGTGGACAAGAATCCTAATGCAGGAGACTTCACAAAAATCCAAGACGCCATTGATTCTCTTCCCTTCATCAATCTCGTGAGAGTTGTCATCAAAGTACATGCCGGAATATACACGTAAGTATATCTTTGGAAGAAGAACACGAGAGTGTAAAAATCATTACCGACTAAAAATACTCTTTTTTATTTATTTTTTTGCACTTTTTCATATGTTGTTAATTGTCATACATTCTTGTCATGTGGTGAATTGGTAACTAACGAAGTTGTGGAATGGTAAAAATTTTCAGGGAGAAGGTAAATATACCTCCATTGAAATCATTTATAACCATAGAAGGAGCAGGGGCAGATAAAACCATTGTTCAATGGGGAGACACAGCTCAAACACCATCTGGTCCAAAAAAACAACCCATGGGGACTTTTAATTCTGCAACTTTTGCTGTCAATTCCCCTTATTTTATTGCCAGAAACATTACATTTAAGGTAATTTTCTCAATCTCAGTCTCTTTTTATGGACGTCCTGAACAGAGAACTTTCTTGTTACGATATATGATTGTACGATTAATGTGCAGAACACTACACCAGTCCCCAAACCAGGAGCAATTGGGAAGCAGGCAGTGGCGTTTAGAATATCAGCTGATACAGCAGCTTTCTGGGGGTGTAGTTTTTTGGGGGCACAAGACACACTCTATGATCATTTGGGAAGGCATTATTACAAGGATTGCTATATTGAAGGTTCTGTGGATTTCATCTTTGGAAATGGACTCTCCCTATTTCAGGTTAGATCAATTCTCACCTTATTTTTGGGTTCTTTTAGCTTTTGATCCAAAAATATAATAAAGTTATTCATTCCAGAATCCTATAATTTACCGTCTTCTTGCATCATTGCATAATCGTAAGAATTTGTACAATGACACATGGACGAGAAGGACTTACCTACACTCTTGTACACCATCATAGCATCCTGAATGAATAATTGTATGTGATGCGTTAATCTTTCCCACATAGCTTGCATATTGGCTCAGGATGACATAGTAATGTACCGGGGTGTAAATAAGTCTCACTCCACATGCAAAACTCTGCATTTCTCATGTTGATTGATTTTCGTATGTATTTTAATTCTATTCCCAAAATTACACATAAAAGTCATCGTGAAATCTTCCCTTACAAAACACGAGAAAAATTGCACTGAAACGAATACTGAACGACATTTTCGAATTGCAAATAACAATGCCCTTACTCTTTTCATTTCTTTGTTAATTTTCATTTCTTACAGCTCACTGCTTGGCATGCTAAAAAAAAAACTGTGGATGTTGTCAAATCATGAAGTTAAATCAAAGCATTTTCTATTTATTGGCGTCTTCTATATGTCTTGACCTTGCAGTCTCATATCATATAGCCACATGAATATGTAAATGTTGAAATTGCTAAGTGCAACTGTACAGGGATGTCACGTGCATGCAATAGCACAGAACACAGGAGCACTCACGGCGCAAGGCAGAAGCAGTATGTTGGAGGAAACGGGCTTCTCATTTGTAAACTGTAAGGTCACGGGTTCAGGAGCTCTCTATCTTGGTAGGGCTTGGGGTCCCTTCTCCAGGGTGGTCTTTGCCTACACGTACATGGACGACATTATCATCCCTAAAGGCTGGTACAACTGGGGTGACCCTAATCGTGAAATGTAACTCTCTCTCTCTCCCTTACTTTTCTTTTATCTTGTTGGATTCAATACATCATATCAACGTGACATGTACGTCGCATAGTGCATTTGGTACATGGTGTCATTCACACACAATAGTTTTCATTTTTCAAAGTAGGATCATGAGATAGTTTTTAGAACTAAAACTTCATTTTTTTCTAGGGTGTTTTGACGTATTAAATAGAAAGCATCTACAAATAACCCCTCAGGTAATGTAGTAAAATGTTGAAGACTTCAAGTGATAGTACGTGCACCACACCTATAACTTCACCGCAACCAATGAATTAGTGGCAAGTGGTAAAGGTGCATCTAGATCATGTCCATATGAGCCAACTTAAGCAAAAACCATGTTCTAAAACTTTCAATTTTACTAGGGTATTAATTTTGGCATATTTAGTACGAAAACTTACTAAAACCCATCATATGGTGTTGTAGACCCTTTAAGCGGTAGATACACCATTCAGTGGGTCAAATGGTTTCTCAAATGATGATATTTCTATTAGGTGTTCTTCTTCAATACATTAACGTACCCTTGTAAAACCATAAAGCCTCATCACAACCAATAAGGTAGAGTATAGTAGGTGGATTTAGATGTAAATAGATCATGCTCCTATGAGACAAAACTTAAGCAAAGTTGTGTTCTAGCTAGCTCATTATTATTAGAAGTAGGGCACCTTTGGCATTTGATAACACAAAACGGACGGTTACACAGACGACCTAAACATGCCTGTATGTCCTTTTGCCTTTTTCTGCTGCAAACCCTACGTGTAATACACCATAACACCAGTGCATGTATATAAAAACCCTAAAAACCCTATCTACCTACTCATGCATTACGCCATTCATGTTGGCATATTTTAAGAAAACCAACGTCATATAAGCCACTTACTAGTCCTTGGTCCCTATATATGTGTGCTTAATATATATACATATATATATATATATTTTATGTCTGTGTGTGTATAGTTTGGTGAGTTAGGTTTGGTTTCGATGCTTTTGGCATTGTTCAATTTGGTCGTAGTGGCATGCGCATGAAGATTGATGAGTAGGGCTTTGTGATGATATAGTTGGATATGGTGTTTTTGGTTGTTGCAGGACTGTGTTTTATGGGCAATACAAGTGCACAGGACCAGGAGCTCGCTTTGCAGGGAGGGTTTCGTGGAGCAGAGAACTCACTGATGAGGAAGCCAAGCCCTTTATTTCCCTTACCTTCATTGATGGCTCTGAGTGGATCAAAATATGATGATGATCAAATATAATACCAACAATTTTTATCCAAACAAAAGAAAAAGAAAAAATGTTTGCAAAAATCCATGTTAGTGATGTCCTGCTTAATATATATGATTGAGATAACTGCTATGTCAAGGAGTAACTCAACACACAAACTAAGGCTTTTATATGATCATTGCAACTTGCTTTAACTTCCCTATCCGCAATCAGTAGCGGATTTAGGATTTCAAGATTGGGGGATCCCAAGATAAAAGTTCAAAAAAAAAAAAATATTATACTAGTTTGGTTCCATAGCACTATTTTTTATTGAATTTGGTTCATTGAATAATCAAAATTAATCAACCACATCAAGTGGCCCAGTGGTAAGGGCGCGGATTTTGGCTATCAAAATACAAAAAACAAAGAGGTCCTGGGTTCAAGGTTCCAAGTTGGTGAGTCTACTTGACTGTGGCCAAGAGAAAGCTAAAATGCCTCTGTGAGTCTTCTAGGCCCCTAGAAGAGGTGGATAACCATGGATTGCCACTAGTTGTCCCTCCTTTAATAAAATAAAATAATAATAATCAAGATTAATAATAAAACCAACAAATTCTCCTCAGCAACATAACACATCAATTAATGACTCTACAAAGAGGAAATTTGTTCAATGTAATATATATATATATATTACAATTAGGAGTTGAGACTAGAGTCTAGGATTAAAAAACTTAAATGAATTTGGAAGAAATAAATTTAGGCAGCTAAAGGTGGTGGAACAAAAATTAGAAACCTCTTCTTCTTCGTTATAAGCACTGCTACATGCACATCCATGAAGGCAACAAGCCTCTCCGCTGCACCTGCTCAAATTGTTGGAGGATCCCAAAGTCGATCACAAGTGTTTTTTCAGGCTTCCGGAGGGTCCGGGACCTCTCGGGTCCCTATATGGATCCGTCCATGTCCTGCAACGACAGAAATTAAGACAAAAGAAAAGAAACCAGGTGCTATTGATGCAAAATATGATTGTCACAAGAAAACGGCAGGCTAAGTTACACAAGTTATGAAGTGGTGTAGGTCACTTGTCATTGTTACTCTTTGGCAAAATTCTTGTTAGTAGTGATGTGGTTATGTTCGTCACAACCTTGATCCAGCTCATTCTTTTTATCCAAATTTCCTTCAATTTGAACCAATGTACGCATCACTTTAAAAAGTAAAGGGTTACTTTTAAGCCTAATTTAAGGATCAAACTAACATAAATGTCTTAAAAGCACATTTAAATTGGTGAAATTAGACAGAATTTGAATAGAACGTTCAATTTATACTGAGATTGATAACATACTTAACCACAAAGTATTATATTAAGAACTTTCTATCACATGAATACATGATTGATCGATATTGGCATGTGACTCACACCACATGAATGATATGTGCAATTTTGGCATGAGAAAAGAAAAGGGTGTAGTGTTGATCCAAAGCTATAAGCTTTTTCCTTTCCACTTTGGGTAGAAAATTCAGTTGGACTTGGCTTTTGAGCTACATAACCTAGAAGCTGGGTCTTCAATTGACCAAAGCCTTTAGACCGGGCTTGAAAATCTACAAGGCATGTTATTACACATTTTGGACTTATAAGTTATAACAAATAACAATAAGGACCACATTTTTACTTTTGAATTTTTTTTTTTTTGTAATATTCTTTCCCCCAAGAACTGTGGGGAGAGGAGGAGGAGGAGGAGGAAGCAGTCACCAATGTAATTGTTGGTGGGGAAGCATTCTGTCTGATCTCTGTGATGACTGAGGCTCTCTGCTTGACCTAACAAACTTTGAAAGCCCCCTTTCATGAAAACCCAAGCAAAAGGACGTAGCTCCCAGCTAAGCTTTGTTTCTGCAAAACTTACCTGCACCAACAGAGCTTGAAAAGAATGTGACTTCGGCCTTCCAATCCAAATACTAGTCGCGACAAGTCGAAGGGGAGTCCTCATTGGCTTATTATCCCCCTCGGAAAGTGTAAAAAAATAAAAGGCAAATATTATGATTTTTAGGTCTATATATGTAGTTTGAGCGAATGACATATCATGGAGATTCAATTTAGGGTTTAGTTCAGCTGATTAACTTTAATTGTCGCGATTTAAACTTCATAGTTTATTAACTCTTGCTATTTTTAGAACAATGATTTAGATTGCATAGTGTGCCTGCTTTGTGAGGATGTGAAGAAATCTCTCGCATTAGAAGTTTATCAAACTTTTGTATGTACTTATCAGGACACAATTGTCAATTAGTCTAATGGAACTTTAATTTTCTTTACGCCTACCTTGTACTCAAGTTCGAATCTTCATTTGTGTTGTTTAGAATATCATGTTTTCAAACAAGAAATACCAATGACTTGGTTTTGTCAATTTCTTCGACAATAATTAGCTTGCGAATAATATGTGTGTTAGGGTAAATTGAGGTGAAAAGAAAAAAAAAAACCAAATATACACATTTCACGTGCTAATTCCGTTGAAAATTTCCTTGAATGACAACAACCTTGGTAAATTTACATAGGTTAAATTGCTACTTTGGTAAAACTACAAGGACCAAGATCATCTTTTGACACTTTGATAAATTACTTGCATAGTACTTAACAAACTATATACATGAATTTTTATTAATTGTTCTTCTTTTGCAGACAAGTTTGAGCTGGTGAAGGAACTAGAAAATTACGTGAGACTATTTGTCTTTTTTAATGAATAATTGATAAGGACAGGGGAGAAGAAACAAGGACAGTAGAATAGAATTTTCAAATATTGGCCAAAATGGAAGCATGTAACTCACTACTGTAGAAGTCTTGGTCCTTATCTTCACATTAGAGACTTTTTAGCAACCAAGAAATGTGTAATTGGTTTACTTTCTCTTTTAGCTTTGTAATTTGAAAGTAACTTACATGAAACAGCTTCAAGCGACGTCCCAATCTGATACTGCAATTTCATAAAGAAAGAAACTTACATGTGAGATTATATTATTGAACCACAATGCCACAATAGTAGTAAACTCATTCCATAAAGTCATCCCGTAAATGAAGAGTGCGCACAAAATTAAAAACAAGTGTGTCATATTTTTCAAGAGAGTTTGACGATCAAGCAAACCAAAATCAATTCTCATACCTAGGAAAATCACAAGGGACACATATTGCTTCATGGTTCAAACTTTTTCCATTTTTGTTGTCAATAATTGTACTAGTTTGAAAAAGCTTCAACATTTTTTCTTTCATTTAGAGAATCCATATCAAAGACATATATATATATATATCAAACATTTACTTGCACTTTGCAATGTGATTCACATGACAACAATACAAAATGATTATTTTGAATCGTACGTGTGATGTGAAGAGTGTCGAGCTCTGTTGTCCGAAATTGATAAAGCACGTCTTCAAAATCTTTGCAGAGCACCGTAGTTGGAAATGACTAACTTCTCCAGCCAACATATTGTATCATGGAAGAATTATTGTCAACATTTTCTATCCCAAGGTTGGAAGCTAATTGATTGGCAACTAATGATTTGATATTTTTGGATTGATAGTTTCATGTTATGACACTCGATTGAGCATTAAATGATTTAAGTTTTCTATTTATAGTAGGAGTGAAGATGCAAGGTCACGTCTAGTGACGCTTTTAGAGCCTCATTTGCTTTTTAAAAATACTACTTTTACTATATATTTGTACCATTATTTACACTTTTCTTTAAAACACAAAGAACGTTTTTGGAAATAAAATTATATCAAACTTCACGTTATAATTGTGAAAATGCCAAATGCGTTAAATTACCGTTTTCCCCATTTTTAGAAAATACAAAAACTTGAGTCATCCAACAACTACAACAACCTCCGCCATTAAACCACCACCATCATCGCCACTTTCTCATCTATGGTGAAGATGCAAGGTCTCGTCTAGTGACACTTTTAGAGCCTCATTTGCTTTTTAAAAATACTATTTTTATCACATATTTGTATCATTATTTGCACTTTTCTTTAAAACACAAAAAACGTTCTTAGAAATGAAATCAGATCAAACTTCACGTTATAATTGTGAAAACGCCAAATACTTTAAATTACCGTTTTCCCCATTTTCAGAAAATACAAAAACTTGAGTCATCCAACAACTACAACAATTTCCGCCATCAAACCACCACCATCATCGCCACTTTCTCATATAAATATATATATATATATATATATATATATATATATTTAAAGGGGATTAACTGATGATTTTATCATAGCAGTTCATCTTTTGGAGAAAAAAAAGACTCACAGAAAGTCATTTCAGCCTCTCTTGATCACCATCGTGTGATTCACCAGTATCAGGAATCAAACCCAAGACATACCTTATTAAATATGGGCCAGAAAATATTCTATAAATCGAAAACATATATTGAAAACATTACTAAGTATCTTTCAAGAGACTTGGCCTTTGACATGAACGACTCAAAATTACAATTTCAATCATATTACACAATTTCAAGCATTTGATTCATATCATTAATTAATATTAATCATCAAACCATCATGATTCATCATAACCAAACATCAAAATCAGATCAAACCCTGCCATAATATATCATTAATAACAGTTAACCTTTTTTTTAATCTACAATCACATTTTCTAGTATTACATCCCCTGTTTCCGATCATTACATGCCTGCAACTACCAAAATCCAGAGGACCTCTCAAGCTTCCCCATCACAGCATTCTTGAAAACAATGGCGTCCTGCACTTGCGAGCAGGACCTCTGCATCCTAACCCCACTCAAACTATTCCTTGACGCCAACATTTCGTTCAGCGAAAGCCGCTTTTTCGCCCCCGGCTCCGGCCTCTGTTTCGGAGCAGAATGAGACCGCAACTTCGCCTTGAACGACTGAGTGCTCGCCATGTAATTCGGCGAATACCCTCTAAAATAATTCTCGTTACAAACACTCTTTGAAGGCGTGCCGGAGGCATTGCTGGTAGCCCCTCCGCCACAGGAATTCACTAACCGTGGCGTGCCTTGTGCCGAAGAGATCATCCTGCATTCCTCCACGGAAAGCGCCCAGTCGTAGTCTTGGTAGTTCCGGCTGTCGGGGATTGATAGCCGGGCAGGAGTACCCGGATACGGGATTGGAGAAGACAATGCTCGTTGATAAGTCGTATCGTCGGAGAATCCGGATGCGGAACCAGTGTTTGTTCTCCGGGACCTGGATTTCGGCCTGCTGCCTGTATCAACCTCAACAATCTTGGGACTTTCATCAATGTCGTTGAAATTATTGTCACCCAAATTAGAAGCAGAGAGCCTTCTGCTGTGGGATGGAGCTGTATGCTCACTCCTGCTGTCACCAAATCTCTCCTGCAACATTCAATTATTTCCCATAGATTTAAATTATTTAATTGCCAATAAAAAACAGAAAAATCTATTATTTCGAAGGAAAATAATTTCTGCACATCCACTTTCTCCTTCTGCGGACTCCTGTTTATTTATGTTCTTCGATTCATTCAATTCGAAAGCCAGAAATAAACAGGAGGGCAGGGTGGTAAAGGGTTGTGCGGAAAGCGCTTCCCAGTTTCAAACGTAAGTCTTTCGGGCATCTCCAATGCACCGGAAAGTTTGTACTTGATTGTAATTATTACCATGGATTTTCGTGCACGGATTTCAAATCTGTTGCTGGATTCAATGCTGATCAGCCCCAGATTTTTATGAGAACGAACAGTTGCTTGAGCTCGGATTAGAGCTTGCATACTGTGGAGAGTTGCAGTCGCCTGCTTCCTCACTAAGTACCCTCTCACTAATGCCTGCAACTTCACCAGTCCTTTCAGAGCTCTTAGAGCTTTTCTAGCCTGCGTTTTTCACAATTCAAAAGCCGAAATAAGTGCTTTTTTTCAAAAAAGTTGGAAACTTTGAGCAATAAATGAGCAAAACCCCACTTACCAAATAGCCTCTGAAACAAGTTTGAACTTTGACAGCGGCCCATCTCTCTCTCCCGCCGCCGAACATGGTGCCTCTACCATGACTCGTGAGGCGGACAACCGCCACGGCGGCGTTTGCCGCTGCAACCGCAGCGTCGGCAGCAGCGGCCGTGGCTGCCGCCACGGCAATTGCCTGCTTGTTCTGCTCCTTCTCTGTTTCTGTGTAGTGGGATCTCAGCCAAGCCACCTCGGACGGCGAAATGTTGGGCGGGATGGTGGCGGGGCTGTGGCAGAGCAGGGTTGCGGCTGCATCCTCCCTCCCAAAGCTCGAGCCTTTCTTGTCTTTGAAGTCGCCGGAATCAGAAATTGGTTTTTGGTGTTTGTCTTTGGTCTTTATTCCAAACAAACCTTTGAGCCACCTAATTATTCTGCCCATTTTCTCACTCTAGGCACCGAGAGAGGAGAGAGAGAATGGTTTGAAGAAACTGAATGTGAAAGGGATTAAAACCCAGTTGAAGTTTCAGAGAGAAAATGGTAGCTACTTTGTTTCCTTGTTGCAGAAAGTCGTGAAACAGAGTTGTTAAAAGAATAACATCTTTGGAAATACGTAAAAAAATGTTTTGAAAAAACAGGGGAATTTTCTCCCCTCTTTCCGCTGCTTTATGGGTCTCAAGTTCTCAATTCTCAAGGATTTCCCTCCCAACTTTTACTCCACTGTCGGTTTTATCCCTTGGGACTTATATTTTTACTGATTTTCTCCTCTAATTTATTATAAATCATTAATTTTACACGACATAATTATCCACATTTCATTAAAATTTCTTGTCATAAAGTATTGAAATTATATTAACTTATGCCATCAGTCTAATTGATTCTTTAATCCTCATTAAATTGACGCATGGTGAGAACGAGATTCTTATATGTGTTAGCTTATAAGCTACATTTTTTCTACGACATTGCAACAAGAGAACTCGTTAGAAAAGTTAGACACTCAAATAAATAGGATGTTTGAACTTATACAATTTTAAAACCTTAAAGTAGAATATGAGAAAATTAAAACTTCGTTACTCTTTAAAAATCACTTTAAATTTAAAGATTGTGAAATGTATTTAATTCTAAATCTCAAGTTCAAAATTATTTTTTGTTTTTAAATTTATTTGAACCGAATATAGACAGAGGAGGAGTTTTGAGCCAATCAAGTAAAATATGAATTGAGGGAGCTACATCCAGCAGATAATCCAAAAAAATAAAGACTAAAATAATAATAAAACAGAGGAAGTCTCTCACCTTGGTAGAATCATATTCCCACCAGAAAAGTGACTAAAAAAAAGAAAGAAATGTTAAGGAGATTATCTATCACTTTATGTATTTTGCATGATGTATTATAATGTTGATATGAGAAGTACGATGAAAACACTAGTGGCAAAGGGAAAGGGATTTTCACTGCTCCAATGAACAACTCAAATTCTGGGAAAAAAGTTTCTGTCTTATTTTTCTTCTGAAAAACAAAAGAAAAAGAAGAAGAAAGTCTTATTCTAGGGGTGAAGTTGAAATGGTTCCAATAGTAAAAATTTTGAATCCGAATTTGAATTTATTCAGACATTTTTTCTTTTGAAATATTCAGATTTCTAATAATTATGTACTCAAATTATGTATTTTTGTATTTTAGTGTTAGTTTTAAGGCTTAGATGTTGAAATGATCCTTGTGTTTTAGTCATTGAGTCAATTTAGTCCCTGTGTTTTCAATTTGGCCAACTTGGTTCTTGTTTATCTTCGTTAACCAATTAAGGACATTTCCATCTAATTTCTGTAAAAAACAAAAATTATAAATTATTATAACTTATTTATGAAAATATTTATTTGATTTAAAATATTTTAAAATTAAAAGAAAAATTATTCTCATCTCTCAACCCCCCCCCCCCCCGGGACCTCCTCCCTAACATTACCCCATCTCTTTTCTATGTCACAACCTTAATCATTTTTCAAATTAGAAGTTTTGTCTCTTATATGTGTAATTTCTCATTGATTTTTATGTTTGTGTAAAGAGAAAGGGTAATTATATCTCATATAATTTTTCTTATGATTTTTTTAAAAATGATGGAATGAAATGTCCTTAATTGCCCAACAGAGACAAACACGATGACCAAATTAGCCAAAAAAAAAAATATGGGGACTAAATTGGCCATGAGGCTATAATTAATATTTGGAGTTACAAAGGTGTGGCCGGGGAACATATTGTGTTTTTGAACTTGTGCTTTTTGGCAGCTCTGGCATTAGGTGTATTGGGATCTAGAAATATTTATTGATGAACGTACATGCTGAACACAACAAAATAATTCTATTAGATCTAATAAGTACCATTTTGGCATTTAGCCTAGTTTTAAATATATTTGTTCATTTTTTAACTTCTCACACACCCTCTTCAATCTCGGGCGTCGAATCGAATGAATTGAATAAAATCAAATGACATAAATTAATAAGGGGTGAGTGAGAATGAAAAATAGGTGTGTGGATATCACACTCCTATATTAAGATGGCTAATTATACAAGTATAACACCAAATAAATGACATGTAATCAATTAGATGCAATAAAAAAAATCAAGAATATGCAAAACACGGACACAATACATCAATTTTCAAATTGTTTTAAAATTTTTATATTTACTTTTTTATTTCAAAAATTTTGTTTTTTTTTTTTAAATTATGTTCCAATCCAACCCAATTCCATAAATTTGGATTAAAAATTGAACAAGTCGATCCGTCCGAAAAACACCTCTTATTCTTTATCTGCAGAATAAGTCCGTTTCTTCTCTCTCAACTTTCTGGAGTGACGTGTCCTAAAAAGGAAAAGATACCTCAATGTCTTCATCTTCTGACACCCTCGTGATGCCCTAACTATAAACAATACATTCTTACTTGTAAAAACATATGCATCTTTTTAAGTAAACTCATTTTGTACCTTTCATTTAATTATTCCGCCTATGAAACCAACGTAATCAGTTATATAATGGTATCAGTGTCAAAAACAAATTTCAATTAGTCTGCCTATAAAATGTACGTCGTTATTAATAGTGATATCAATTTTGAAAACTAAATGTATAGGTATCGTATCAATGCGTTTTCAATAATATTGACTGTATGACTACTCTTTGTTATGTATATAAATTTTTTGTTCTTTTACTTTCCTAGTAATATATACAAGTGAAGCAAATCATCACGGTTCTATGTTGTTAATTCTCTAATCGGCAATGAATGTACGGATATCAACGTCAAACAAAACTCCTAGACATATTATTAGATACATTTTCAACATATATCATATTGCATGACAGTTTTCTCTCGTATAAATATTCTATCTTCGTTCCAATTTCTAGTAACATTTACAAGTGAAGCAAATCATTTCATTTCCTTGTTTTTTTTTTTGTTAAATTCTGATCGTCAACGAATGCATGGTCGATTGAAATTTAATGGGATTGTTTGATCATGTGGATTTTGTTCTTCTTTCTTCTTGTTTCTCTGGGCCAATGTTGTTTAGAATAAAGTTGATATCTTCTTTGAATCTCCTATTCGGAATGCGGGGACTAATAAATTATGGCTGTTCAAAGGAGAGAAAAAGAGATTCCGGCAATTATTTTGTACGAGGTGGTCTAATGAAATAAGTTAATAAAAACCACATAATTCAACTTGAATGATCCGAATTTGTTAGTCCTTAATCTCTAGAAGATGAAATTCGGAATGATTTCTCTTTTGAATAGACAAGGGATTGTGCTGCCTGCCACCCTTTTTTTAACTCTGTATGATGGATCAAAAAGATGATTCGGCCAGTTGCATTTGCAGAGAATCCAGAATTCTTTTTACCCTGTTTCTTTCAATTATTCGTGCATGCATTGAACTTCTCTGTCAATCTGTTTTTACCCTTTTCTCTGCAACTTCTCTTCTGACCATGCACAGATTATGGATCATAGTTAATGTACCATGCAGGGTTGAGTCATTTCATACTTTAACTTTATACATATATATGTTCATGCATGAGATACAATTATCTTAGAAATACAACTTTTTAGAACACGAACATGTTTTGAGTATGAATATTTATTATTTACAAATAGACTTGTGATAGCGTTTTTAAGATGAAAGTGATTAAAAAAGAGTTTGTCCACTACCAAATTAATTACCAATAATTAGACAAATTGGTAAACCTAATAATAATAGCCTTTGGGTGTCAATATATGCTAAATTAGAGACCTCTAAGTATAGTAGGGGAACCCCCCATTACGAAAACAACATACTGCAACTCAAACGGCAGTGTGATGGCATCTCACGCTAGTCATAAATAGTTATGTGAGAAATTATGTGCATTCGTTAACAGAGTCTCAGACCAACAATAGAAAGTTTTGTGGAAAACTGAAAACACATATCATCAAATTATTGTTCCATGACGCACGGTGGCATCCTAATGAAATATTCTTTTATGCAACTAAAACATAGTCTTTGTGGCGTCATTCATCTAATAGATGTTTATCATGTGTTCAAAACGTGAAACACTTGTGCAATAAACATTTGTCATGTGCTGAATTTGTAATAAGAGAACATCTCTTCATCCCAAGGGGCAAATGTAAGTCTTTTTACAATAATTGGTTCAGAATCCTGACACATTTCTATCGCAATTGCATGTACGTTTCTCTCGCTGGTAAGGTTTTGGACACCTGATGGCGTTAAATGGTAAACTGTGGCTGATTTGAGATGTCATAGGTTTCTAGCTGGAAATGTTTGGTAGGAGCCACACATATGTACCATGAAAAAGCAAAATCCAAAGTGAGGTAAAGAAATTGGTATATTTCAGAAATGCTACAGAAAATTATAGGCCGTAGGTTAAATAGGATTGGATTTGGCTGAGGCTCATCATCTTGTCTACGATGGTGCTTGAACCTTCAACTTTCAATTCATGGATTTTAAGGTTTAATCATGCAAATGGCGGGATGAAGAGATTGACTTGATCGGTACGTAACTGCATCACGAAGGGAAGTGGGGAACCAAAGGGTGACGTTTTTGTTTGAATTTACATGGAAAATTGAAATTTTATACACTTTTTCTTACATCACAAAAAAAAAAAGGTTATTGATTCCTTCCTTTTGTTGCCCTATTTCATTTAAATTACATTCTTGTGCAGCTACAAAGTTTCTTTTTAATGAATTTGAATTCTCTTCGAATTGTAGTATTTGGAGCTTAAGGATCAAGAAATCTGAGCACTTTGTTTGTATGAAAGTGAAATTTAGAGTAGTTGATTTGTTTGAGATGGGTCAGTAGAATGAGTTAATAGGACCATCGATCCCTGTCCGTTTTTTAAGTGTCACAAGTTACAATAAGCTGTTGATGCCTAACTAGTAGATAGGGCTATGCAAATCATGCTGAAAAGTGAAAACAACAGTTATGAATTATGATTGCAGCTCAGAATTAATGGTTCTGCAGTTCCTCAACCCAATCTTTTGCATAAATATAATTGCATAACAGAATATAGAGTCCTCTTCTTCTATACTCAATGTTCTAAGAAAATTTTGTTCGTTCATCGTTCGATCTTAATGTAACGATAAAGGAGAAAGTAGTATAACAAAAAATAAATGACCATCTACCGTTGAATTAAGATTGATCAAACGGTAGGAGATCACATTTTTCTTAAA